AAAAACAAAAAAACTCGAGAATCTGCTGGAAACCGGAGACAGCTGGCACGTGGGAGCCCCAGAAGGCGTCGGTGTCATAAATTGAACGACAAGCCAAAAAAAAAAAAAAAAAAAGGAACTAGCCTACCGTCTTCACCCGAGTAGAACGCCCACTAATCACCGGTGCATCTGGACCGGAAGTTGGCCCGAAATTACAACTAGAATGACCGGGCGTTCTATTCGGGTGAAGACGGTAGCGGTAGTTCCGTTCATACGCCCTTCGAGGGCCTGCTCTCCCGTCCTCACCCCACAATACGACATATGGCCATTATTGCTGTATTTAGATGCCCCAAATACAGCTATGCTCACGGTTCGTTGTATGACGGCTACGACTTTTTAAACTCCAAAAATAACTTGTTTCTAGCGTTTTTCGCGGCCAGATGCATCCATCTTCAGGTTTGTCCCCTCAGGCACTTTTAAAGACAGAGCTCCTGCGATTATATGCCCTACCTTCTTCCCCCGAATAGAACGCCCGGTCATTATACCCGTATTTGGTGCACTTTTCAGTCTACATACAGGGATAATGACCGGGGGTTCTACTCGGGTGAAGTCAGTAGTTTGGGGCTATCATCTATCAATTCTTTTTTTTTTTATATTATCAATTCTTAATTTCTTAATAAATTGACTGTTCTGAAATGCAGACTTGAGCTCGAATCCAGAATTAATGCCCCCCAAGTCCCACTTGAACGAGCTGAACCAGAGGACCAGGGCCCAAGTCCCACTTGCCCAGGTTCTTCATTATTGGCCGTCGAATTTCAGAATATAATGGGCCTGGCTGCACTACTCTCGAAATGTGCAAAACGAGAGTGAATCTTCTGCAAGAATATGGAAAGATACAGCGCCATGTTTTTTTTGTTTTTTTTTTTTAAATATGCCCATGTTCGTTCTTTTTTTTTTTTTTTTTTTTTCAAAACAAAATCATATTACGAAAGAATAATGGGGAGGCCGGGGACCTCACAGTTCAACCCGGAGTTATCCCGGCAGCATCAGCCGGTTTAGCTTAAGACTCAAATTCTTATGAGAATACTCTGGTACTGCTCTGCTTGGTGTATGCACCGAATACTCTGACTGTCCACGACCTACTGCAAGTAGAACTACAACTAAGCATACCGCTAACTACCCCTAATGCTACCAGCCCCAATGAACGAAAGAGGTCTACCTGCAGCCTCCCCGAACCTAAGCCGGTTCAGTTTAAGCTAATGTCCCTCGAAGTGATGCCCCCTTCTGCGGAGCTGAAAACCGAGAGACTAGGTAAGTCCTAACCCAACCCCCCATAATGCCTCTCCAAAGTGTCTCCCGTTCCCCAGTAACAAAGGAAAACCATCTTAATCTACCAGCCCTTAATGGAAAACTACCTACTCAAAAATATATAGAGTCGATGGTACCACTATCTTCTGGACGGACATTTTGCAATCTTCAGCCTTGCAGCCATGGGGCTAGGGCCAGCTTTCCTTCCAAGGTGACTCCTGCCAGTTGATTTCCCGAAGCCCACGTGAACAGGAACCAATTTCTGCCTGTCGGTGTTCTGCCATAGTCACCCTTTCTTACCCAGTCCGCAAAAATCATTGTCCGAATCATGAATTTTGTCTTGGCTTTGATCCCACAATCTGAAGTCCACTCATTTTGGAACCGGATATTGTTCCTGTCCTCCCATATCACCCACATAATGGCAGAGCGAATGACTTGGGCCATGTAGCCCCATCCACGTTTGGGGAAGAAAAGAGGTGGAAGGCGTCCTGTAATAATCCAGTCTTGATTCCACTGAAGGCTTGAGCCTAAGCTTTGCCAGTGTAGGGACCACCAACGCCAAATTCTTTTTGATGCCGGGCAGTCCCAGATAAGATGCAGAAGTGACTCTTCCTGTCGGTGCCCACAGCGACTGCATGTAGGGGGAATAGCCATGCCTCTGACAACCAGCCACTTTGCTGTAGGGACTGCAGAATGTGTGATCAACCACAGCAAACTCGATAATTTAAGACTTGGCAGGACTGACAGTTGCGACCACACTGCTTTCAGCTCGGGAGTTGTAATAGGCACTGGGAGACTCAGGTTGCCAGTAAGCTTGGCTCCTATGTCAGCCAAATTAACTGAATGTTGTATTCTTCTCCCCAGCTTGGTGTTGAACTGCGAGAGATCGCTCGTTTTACCTTGCATATGGCACAGGTTACTGCTTGGGTTGAGCCTCAGCTTCTGGATGCAAATGCCCCCCTGAATCAATGTGAAAGCCTATCGTCTGTTGGCGCCTGGTGTCCTTGCTACACGTATAGCCACTAACTGTTGATCGTTGCTTAAACAGGTCTCTCGGATAAGGCTGAGCTTTTGGCCAGCCTCTTGCCCTCGCTCTACGCCCCACTCAGATACTTTCCATTCATCCTGCCCCGATACAACCTCCTCGATTTTGAAAACTCTTGATGGGCAGACTTCATCTTCTGCCTTCTTGTACCAGTTGTCCACTCGGGGGGAGGCCTCCTATCTCAGCAGGCGATTCCATTTCACTGGGATAGCGTCGATCAACGCTTGTAAATTGATCCTGAT